CGTCTTGACACAACTGATTCACATCCAAAGTGTCGCAAAAGCGACTGAAAAGCAGTCTTTTGGTCATAAAGTGAGATAACATCGGAAGCAGTGGTTTGGCTGTAAACGCTATGCATTTGCTTAACACTGACATCATTACCATAATTGTCATCAATTGTATAAAAAACTGTATTAAATAAACAGTAAATTTAATACATTTCGTGAAATACTGTTAAATCACACAATGATTGTGAATGTGATATGAATTGTGTGTTAATTTGAAGTTTGTGTGCAAAATGTTTGGCTAATCAAAGGCCTATTAGTCAGTGAATAACGTAAACATTTATGTGTGAAACTGGTGTCCACTGCAGTCAATGTTCAATACAAAGCATGCTTTCCATGTTATATTCAATGGATGTGAACACACCTTAAATGTGTCACAGTTTATGTGTTTGCTAAGTTATGCATACAATCAACACTCGTTATACTAAACAAGATCATATAAAATGTGAATTAATTAAAACTATTAACAAAATTAATAATATTATAATAGTTTACTGATGTGTTGGTTGAGTAAAAAATATTTATATAAGTAGTGGTGTAATGGCTATAAAGGTTTGCTTTGATATGTGATTCATAATAATTCATGTATTGTATGACTCTATGAGGAGGTATTGTATATATGAAAGGGTTTTGTTTACAAACAGCTATTGAATTGAGTGTTCAATGCAATGATCACTGACTCAAGTGACCACCGATTGGCACATCAAACACATGACCACTGATTGTCACAATGAATATCAACGACTTGAACGACGACTGTCTCTCAATTATCTTCTCATACATACCGCTGAAGCAGTTGTTTATCGACCGCCGAGTTTGCAGACATTGGCGACAAACCATAGGTTTGTATTGAGTGGTTGTGGTGTAGGAGTGGACTCACTGTGAGTGACCATTGGTTTGCAGATAATTTGGTGGCAAATGAGAGGCATTTGGTGTACAATCAGGCGATTAATGGCACCAAAAGAGACCAATACTTCTACAAATACAAAGACAATGTGGACTCACTTCTGGATTTGAATCAATTTGAATGTGTCGTCCAATTGATGCCCAAACTCACGGCACTGACACTCAATGGTGAGTCCAGTCGTGGCACTCATTAGCCATTAAGACATGTTGTCATCACTTATGGCTTATAAGCCTTGAGTGAGACTCGCGTTTGCAAGTCTTCACTCGACTGATCCCCAATTGGTGTGTCTGTTTCGCACAGGTATCAAAGCCAACGACGCGATGCTGCCGATTGTGGCCACAAGTGGTGCGAACATCACTCGACTGCACCTAATGTCGGGCGAGGAGTCGCTGACATTCGTGGGCTTCAAATACCTGGTGCGCCGGTTCCCGGGGCTCACGCACCTGGATCTGCCCAACTGTCAACTGGACGACGACCTAATCCACATAATCACCACAAACCTCCACCAATTGGTTCACTTGAACTTCGGCACCGACCGGAACCGGGCCCTCAAGAACTACCGGTTGTCGCGGTTCACGGGCCACACGTTGCGACACATCGGCCCCCGGATCCGGTCGCTGATGATCGGGGAGAGTATGTATTGGGACGAACAGCTCGTCCAGTCGCTGATGGCCAGCAGCGCCCGACACGTGACTACTTTGCGCATCCATTTGATTAAACTGAAGGCCTTGCGCACCGTCTGCGAGGGTATGCCTCAACTCAAACACTTTTACTGCAGTTTCAACGGCGGAGACATCAATACACACGAGAATAACGTGGGATGCGTTCGACACCTCCAACGCCTCCACAGTCTGGAAGTGCTGGAACTCATCGACGACGGCCGCCACCACTGCGGCATCAATGGCTGTTACAGTGTCTACACGTTGGACGCCTTAATGGAGGCCATGAATGGCATGTCTCAGCTGAAGGTCCTGCGACTCATAGACTTCGACAACTGGCACTCATTCAAACCAAATATCGATCCATTGCTCAGCGAATTGAGACGTTTTTGTCCCAATTTACGAGAATTGGGAATAAGTGCCGGACTTTTCCAATTGAAAGCCGAGAGCTACGGCCTCATAGGTCTGCTCAATGTGTCGGTTCTCACAGTGCAAGGGGACAGTTGTCTGAATGTAGGGGAGGGCCTAAACCACAGCAATAAACACAACTACTTGACCGACGAAGTGGTGGTCGAACTGCTGAAGTCGAGCCCCGGTATGCGTCGCCTCAAAGTGGAGAACTGTGTGTTTGTGGGCGAGGAGGCCATCGCCGGGTGTCTGCAGGAGTCGGCCACAAGAAGTCGTCAGCGAATTGAACTCATATTCAGCAACACTCGACTCAATAGTGCGAACCAATTGACTGCAAAAGTGCCGCAAAACGTGTCGCTTGTGGTGACCAAAGAGGTAGAGGCCATCGATTTGGAGGATTACAGCGACGGCTCGTCTTCGTTCGACTCATCCGACAGCGATTCCATTCATCTGTTCTCTGAAGACGACGACGACGTCTACAACGAGATGTAGTCAACCCTTTTGTACACAAAGTTTTGCTAACTTTCCCTCTTTTATATCAAACTTTGTTGTGTTTTCGCCTATTATTTGCATTTTTCGTATTTATTTATTATTGTTTCAACTTTTCATTTATTCGTTTGTTTTTCTTGTTTTTATATTTCTATTCAATACATGATTACAAATAAAACTAATTTTATTTTATACCGTAATGTAATGTATTATAATTGCTGCTGAACTTGAAATTAAAGGAAAGTCTCTCTCTCTCTCCCTCTCTCTTTCTTTCTCTCTCTCTCTCTCTCTCTCTCGTGTCCTTCAAAACAACCACTTATTTAATAATTCATTGAATTGTCTCGAGTTTTACGTAAAGAGAAAATAATTTAAATAAAATTTTGTTATAAAGTGTGAAATACTGTATTTGATATGAAATGACAATAAAATGTGGAAACTATTAGAACTCAACGTTTGTTTAATCGCATGGATTGTAGTGATGGTCGGCATTAGGGATGTGATGGGAATCGTTGTCTTCGAGGGCCGAACCACTGCTTGCGACACATGCGATGGCGTGGAGACGATGTCCGTCCGGAATGTCATCTGTTGTGCGAAGTTTAGTAAGTGTTGTATTCCCGACACAATCGACGGCTATTACAGCCAATTGGACAGAGAGACGGCACTCAAGAGGGCCACCGCCAGACCCCCCGTTCCTGTTATACCTGTTGTGCCCATACCTACCGGCGCTAATGGGTCTGTGAATAGGAGTGCAAAACGGAAACGAAACTCAAAAAAGAGTAGAAAACGTAAAACGAGTCAAAATAAGTCAAACACTAAGACTTACGGCAATATCAATGAAAAGGCATTCATTGAACAGTTGTACTCAGCGTTAGGTCTCTAAGACATGGATAATGCTATTGAAGTGCAACTTATGTCGCATTACTTGTAATCAAAATTAACTGATTTTCTATTCAAACGCATATTATCTTAAATTTTAAACTTAAGACTTTTTACCGTAGTTATGAATTACTTGAAAATTGTAATGTATCTCAATATATTTTCAATAATGTTTATTACGGTAATTAATAAATTGCATGTTTTGAGTATTTAATATAAATTTTGTTTTGCGTACAAGTTTTTGCGCTAAATTTAAAATTGATTTTTGTTTATTGATAAGACATTTAAAATAATGGACACAATTTGCGATACAATTATTTGCCTCTCAATAGGAACTCTTGGAACTCCTTTCTGTCGGCTCTGTATCGACTCAACTCCAGGCCCTCCCAGTGATGGACATGGAGTTTGGCGAATATATTGACCACAATCTCATTCAACACCTCTTTCTCCCTATCATTCAACCCATTGACCATAACATCTAAATTAGCGTTCAATGCGTTTTCACTGCAAAAACCAATTTAAAAGTTTGAAAATCAAACAAATTGTGAATTTGATGACTGGTTTGACTCACTCCTCCATCCCTATCAGGTGAGTGTCGATACCCTTGTGTTGTAACGCATAATAAACCGATAGTTTAGCGATATTCACGTTACGGTCCTATGATTTGCATACAATTCACGCATAATTACACAGAATATAAGAATTGCATTTCAATCGCACATACATTGCAATAGTTGATGGCCTGAGTACAGGCCTGTCGTATAGGTGTAGGTGCCGCGTGCCAATAGGGCACATTATTACCCGGGGTTAATAATCCCATCCCCAGAATCGCCGCATTAATTACACCCAAATTCTTGCTCTAAAACAGTAAAAGGGTTCAAAATATTCTGTAATAACTCTCAGTTACAGTAATAATTGACTCATTAATCATAGCGTTAATGAGTTTTGCATCAAAAGGTGATACTAGTGTCCATAGTATGCCATACCTTAAAGAATGGCAAGAATTGGAGTAATGTTTGGTCGAAAGGAGTGATTCGACAATAAGACAGAACGACATCCAGTTTCACAGCACTTCTCTCTATTATTTCTCTACAAAAATATTTTTCAATTCATTTAATTCATACCAATTCTGTGCAATAAGTTGTGTATTAATAATGAACTCACTTTAGTGTATGCAATGGATAGCCAGTGATACCAATGTATTTGACTTTTTTCTGTTGCCTGAGCCTATCGAGTGCTGGAAGTGTTTCATTGATGATAATATCAATGGAATCGCAATACTCCACGTCGTGTACCTTAAGAGACAATGTGTGGTAAACGTCTCGAGAGTTTGAGGCAGTGATGGTATACATGAATCAAATCCAAGTAATCGACGCCAAGTTTCTTGAGACTCGACTCAAACGACTGGACGACCCATTGGGACGAGTAGTCGAAAGTGCAGTCGGGTTTGCGACCGACTTTTGTTGCCAAATAGTATGCATTCCGGGGAATGCCTTCCAATGCCTTATGAAAACAAATTCTAGTTATATTGACTACAATTGTATCATTTATTGGCATACCTTTCCCAACACGAGCTCCGCTTTCCCGCAGCCATAGAAGGGAGAGGTGTCTATGAAATTGATTCCCGACTGAACTGTCCTTCTGATGGACTGAACCACACTCTCATAACCGCTCAATAGTTGCGAGCCGTCGGCGCTAAACACCAGGTCTTTGACAACATGTGCGCCCCCTTTACACCGATAGTCAGTCTATTGTAGGTATTAATTGATAAGTTTTTGCAAATCAATACCTAAGCTGAGTGTCGAGACCATCATATCTGTCTGTCCCAGACGTCTGTACTCGAGCTGTTCGGACGTACGTCTGTCTGTCCACTCGGCTATAAATGTTGGCGGAAAGGGAGACATGATTTCAGTTGAGTTTCGGAAGATTTTAGTTCAATAGTTGTGTCGCAAAAGAGTTGATAACTTTTGAGATCTGAAAATAAGCTACAATTTTAAGACCGTTTAATACTTTCAAAACTCTGTGAAAATGTGTTTATATTTCACGAACACTGAGATTAGATAAGAAAGTATTTAAACCATTTTCACAGACTTTTAAAAAGTTTTCAATACCTAATCACTTAATTATTATCAATAGTACTCATGAGAAATAATTTACTATACAATTATACAGTAAAGTAAGTAAGTCTCACATCAGTAAAAGTACACTAAATAATTAAATTTATAATTAATTCATTTAGTTTTGATTACGTGACACAACTGAAGGGTAAATCAAAAATTCAATAAAACTAGTCAACACAAAATAAGTAAGAATTAAGTGTTGAATATTATGTACCGCTAATATAGCATGAAAATTATATTTGAAATGTTTCGCAAAAGTAAATTGTTATCTCGCATATTCTGCATTAATTAATTATTTTAATCATATATTTCGTATCAAATCAAATATAAACTACAACACTGTCAGTATGTTTTCAAGTAGTTTAGTTAACTTACTTTGTTTTTAATTGGTATATTTACATTTAACAGTATAACCAAAATTAGTTTGTAAAATATATTTAAAAATTATTTTTAACACGTTTAGCACCAAAAGGTTTTATTAATACCGTAATTATAAATTACATTTGCTAGTTATTGAAATTAATTTTAAAAATTATAAAAATATACCCTAAACACTTGTCATCAATTTGAATGTTAATTAAATATATAAAATAAAATATTTAAATAAATATTAGTTATAAATTATACAAAATTATTGTTACTTTGTTATTAAAATAGCGATTATTTAGAAGTATTAGCACCGGTATGTGTTCGCTTAGGTTTAGGCGTATTGAGTGCATCGCATATCCGGTCCCTAATAGGTCTCAAAATATCCAAACTCTGAGTCCAATCGGTTTGTGTCAATAAGTCGATGGCCTCTTCGCTGACATCATCGGCGGTAAGCAATGATACGTACGTCTGAGTGGCCGCATGAATGCGTATACGCGGGTAAACATTGCATAAGAGTATCACTAAATAAGAGATGCATTGCTTGTAATCTCCCGTTTGAATGCCGGCGCAAAACACATCGATAGCCGCTATAGCTTTGTGACAATCCCTGGATCTTCCGCCACAGTTCCACGTCTGCAGTAATAGTCGGCGTCTAAACTGGGGATCAGTTCTGCACGAAGTCATCAGAAAGTGAGCGCAATGTATACAACTCTGGCATATGTTGTCTGCGCTTATATTCTGTTCATACAAATCCAAGAAAACGTCCAAAACTTTGCCATTCATTGAGTTTAACTCGTGTTTCAATAGATTTCGGACCAAAGTTTCCGTCGGGTTTGAGACACACTTCACAATCCCTTTCCAAATATTATACGTAAATAATTCCACTTTTAGTAAACGTATTAACGGTTTCCATTGGTCCTCCTTCTCACTACCGGTGCTCTCAAACAGTGATTCCATTAATTGTCTGTCGATTTGTTTCAAATGCTTATTGAAAACGATTTGTTTGAATACATGTAAAGCCATTGTTCTCTCTTTTTTCCAAACGTTAACGCATTGAGTAGTCATTAGTTTTAAAATCTCAATCATTTGCTCGTCAGTCGACTCATTCATGAAGCGATGCGAGGCCTCAATGGCGGCCAACCGGACATTCCCTCCGATATCACCCCTCGAGTCAACGGTTCTGTCGTCTAATGCCATACAAAGACAGTCAACCATTTGTTGTCGTCTTATGTCATCAATCGGACGGAATTTAAGCGATAACTCGACTAAAGTTATCACTTCTGATGCGCGAGAATTACACAATAGATCACCGGATTTGATGTGAGACACCATTATCTCAAAGCATGTCTCATAGTACTGGACATCAAGCAATTCGCGAGACATTAATCGCAGGCATTCTGATGAACCAATTCTTGAACTCTCTTTACTTGAGTTCAAGTGTAGTAACAATTGATCCAAAACTTTAGTTTTCAGATCTGTTTTGTTTCGCAAATAATTATAACAAAACACTGGAAGCGCTGGAACGGCATCTTTTCGTGTCTTAATGTCTTCACTCGCTATTGAGTTGCAAATCACATCAATCCAAACGTCAAATACTTTTGATTCACAACTAATCGGAAGCGAAACCGACGAACACTTCTCTATTAACACACTTAACGACTGTTTCATAAACTCTCCGCCGATTCCTCTCAAGAGTTTCTTATCGCTCAGAGTCACAGCAATCGATTCCATTTGATCCCTTAAATTGGTGTCCATTTTATCACCGATACTACCGATTATGTGAGCGATCGATAGTATAGAGCCGTGTCTTGCGTTCAAATCCAATGACGTGGCCTTTGATAGCAGTTGTGGTAAATAGCGATTCATATCGACAACAGTCGACAACTTTCCCAGAGATTGAGCCACTATTTCGCGGATATCTCTGTCCCAGTGCTGGCATTTGGTCACCAAATGCTCGACCAGACAGTCACCGAACTCTGGCTTTTCTGCTAATTTCAATGCGATGTCTAAATAGCAGTGACTTCTTGTGGCCAATGCGTGGAAATCAGTCACAACTAAGACATCCAATCCGTGCGGAAACACTTGTGTTCGGCCGACAAACTCCTGAATGGCCGCCGAAGCAGCTCTTCGACAGTTCACCTCTCGATCAAAGCATACGACAGACACCAGAGTTGGCGCCAATTTGTGCACAAATGGCTGAATCACTGCAGAGTCATAGGCGCGAGACAGAGACCAACAGACATAACACGCGGCGTCTCTAACGTTGGATCCGATGGAATACGTGCCTAAAGTGAGAGGAATGTCAGCACTCATGGAGTGATTGCCACCAAACGGACGTACCTTTCATTTCGTCGAAAAGCAGTGCTTTTTGGACCACTTCTACCACTTGTGACAACTGATCGGTGAGTATAAGTCCTCTGCGCGAGAGTTCAGCCAATGATAGGCAGCATCCATGCCATGAAGAGTCCGAGTCTTTCCATTGGCAGAGTTGGAGGACATGTGACACCACTTCTGACGCCAAGTCTTTCGGCAANAGTTCAGCCAATGATAGGCAGCATCCATGCCATGAAGAGTCCGAGTCTTTCCATTGGCAGAGTTGGAGGACATGTGACACCACTTCTGACGCCAAGTCTTTCGGCAATCGATTCGTAATTCTCGCCAAATATTTGGCCGAAGAGTAGCGCACTATTGTGTTGATGTCATGCAAACCATTCAACAGCGACTCGATTATCACTTCCAACTGATCCGGAATATCGCTGTAATCGCTGTCGTCCTCTATATCTTCAGAGATCTGTTTAATTGAATGGAAAATATAGAAAACACTTAACATTTAAAGACAATATATTTCAACTCAAAATACCTTTCCGTTGAATCCATTCGCCGACTGTTTCTCGTCAGACATTTGCAGAGATATGTTGTGAGACAAGAGACGTCTGCCTCTTCTGTACCGCCATTTGGCAATCCGTGGTGTCATTAGAGACAGCGCTGCCCTACCAATCAGTTTAACCCTCCATTTGGTCATCAATTCGCGTCCTTTTGTGTCTAATTTAGCGCTCATTTCGATGACCCGATGGGCGTATGGGTTGATGTCCTGCCGGTCGCCCACTTTGAAGAGCACCCCCACAGCCATCACGTGACCTAAACTCGGCTCCGATTGGAGTAACCGTTCAAACGATTCATGCTCATTTCGATGACCCGATGGGCGTATGGGTTGATGTCCTGCCGGTCGCCCACTTTGAAGAGCACCCCCACAGCCATCACGTGACCTAAACTCGGCTCCGATTGGAGTAACCGTTGAAACGATTCATTCATAAAACGACTCAACAGTTGGTCCACAATATCAGGTCTCGAGAAGAAGTTTGCGGAGAGAAGTGCCGCCGAATCGATGCACTTATCGGTCGCTTTGAGGTACGCGTCGATCAACGCATAGATCCTCTCAGTTATCGTCTTTTGAGTCGATGTCTCGTCTTTGGCGTCAAATTTCCTCAAATGAAACGGCGTTTTGACGGCCATTGAGAGCCATAACAATAGCATCGCTCGCGTCGGCCACGTCTTGTAGTCTTCGGGCGATTGTCTTTCACACCAATCCATGAGTTTTGTTAACCAAAACACTTCAGTCGGAAGCGATCGACAGACACTCTTCGGACCAATACATGACACCAATCGATGCATGAGTTGAAAGGCGGCGTTGAATCGGATGCCATTCACAGCACTAGTGGTCACCGTCTCGATGATGGCCTCCAAGAACTGCTTCACATGTGATTCAATGAGTTTGGGATTTGTTTGCCATTTACTGATGAGATAATCAAATCGCTCGCAAATCCGCTCCACTTCTCGCATACATTTCTCGTCATTGTTTTGGTCGTCAAATGATGACAACTGTCTGATTAGATCCACACATTGTCGGGAATCGTCTTCAAAGGTGTCCAAAGAGTAGACCAATTCTGGTGACAATCAGCGGACATATAATTAAAACACAAAAATTCATTCATTTAAAGGAGTGGTCATTAAAGTCACGTACCGTTCGGGTCATCAGTGTCTTCATCTCGTTGTTGACCACTCTTTGCGGATAATTCAGACATTGATCTCAAAAGTGATAATCAATTGACACTAAAATAACACTGAATTACAATTAAATCAATTGATTGTCAAAACATGTGTTGATTTCAAAACAAACAAAACTCAATGCAAGTCATGCGCTCTCTATGCAAATACTCACTTGTGTTTCTCACTAGCATTTGGTGCCATTCTATGCAATACACTCTATGGTGAACTACAACTAAAAGGTACCGAATGTCAGCGTTGTTGTTATGACAACAATATTTTGATGCTTACCTGTCATAGGATTACACGTGTATTGCATCGACTGTTATGTTAATCACAAATAACACATAAATTGTAATTAATTTAATTAAATCGCATAGAAATCAATGGCCAAAGAGGTTACGTATAGTATACTACTTCCCACTTATAATGAGAGGGAAAACCTACCCATCATTGTGTGGCTTATCGTCAAATACATGGATCAATGGTATGTCATGTCTTCACATCAATCGGCTGTCCATTTGTTTAGTCATTAATTGTATGCTTTGAATGTCTGCCACAATGGACCCGATTATCACCTCAAACACCAAACAGTGGTTACAATTACGAGATAATCATAATTGACGACAATAGTCCCGACGGCACCATAGAAGTGGCCAAACAGTTACAAGACATCTATGGAGACAATCGTATCGTTTTAAGGCCGCGCGAGAAGAAGTTGGGTTTGGGAACCGCTTACCTCCACGGACTCACTCACTCCAGAGGCTCATTCATTATCATTATGGACTCAGACCTCTCACACCACGTACGGCTCACACCCGCCATACCATTCCTCCGCTGTAGTCAACACACCATATGTGCAGATATGGCTAAAAGTGTGTTCACTATATCGAGGATTTGTATACATTTTTGGGTGATATCTCTTGTCTTAAAATATGTGTTGTATTTGTGTCCACTCTTTAGCCCAAATTCATTCCGCAATTCATCGAAAAGCAGTCGAAAACCAATTCAGATGTCGTGACGGGAACGCGTTATGCGGGCGATGGGGGTGTGTATGGCTGGGACTTCCGGCGCAAACTCATCTCCCGGGGCGCCAACTACTTGACACAAGTGCTGCTGAGGCCGGGCGTGTCGGACCTGACGGGCAGCTTTCGCTTGTATAAGAGGCACGTGTTGGAGAAGCTCGTGGAGAGCTGTGTCAGCAAAGGCTATGTGTTTCAGATGGAAATGATGGTCAGAGCCAACAGTCTGGGCTTCACAGTCAGCGAAGTGCCCATCAGTTTCGTGGACCGCGTGTACGGCGAGTCCAAAATGGGAGCGATGGAGATCATACAGTTCGCCAGAGGCCTACTCTACCTCTTCTCCACTCTCTAATGCCATTCCCTTTCGGTTTTGTATCACTTTTTTAAAGTGGAATTCATTTTTATTGAAAGTTATTTGTTTTGTCAAATAACATAAGTTTATGATTATAAACGAATTTGGATTTGAATTTTTATTTTTGAAAAACATTCAGTTTGTATTTGGATTTAAATTAAATATTTATTTGTTAACAATTTTGTTGTTCATTACAATGATTATCGTAATTATATTCGCAAATACGGTATTATTTTTAAGGCTATTTAATGTCGATAGACCCTAACATTGGACTTTAAGTATGCAATCGTCTTGCGATAAAACTATTTTACTTGTACACTGTATTCACTCTATTACCGTAAATAGACTACTTGCACTATCATATAACTGTCCTTGTTCAATGAAATGAATAAATCAAAATATTTCACAATATGTGACTTAGTATAGGAAGTTGGGAACCCTTGTCCGACCCGACCCTTAAGGGTGTCAGATGGGAACGGGTTTCAATATTAAAGGCTGGGAAAGGGTTTCCCGTCGTAGAAATCAAAACCCTTAAAAAGCCCAACCCCTTAGAAACCCTTATAATTTGTTCACAGTATTTATATTTTCTCTTAACTCGACCCCAAAAATGTCGATAAATGGTTGTATACTGTATTAGATCTAATTAATGTTAAATTGCAATAAAAGTTCATTTAATGTGAAATATGAAGAATGCAATGAATGCCTATATTAATATGTGTGTGAATGAGTGCACTATTCAGTTAATTCTTACTCTTTTAATAAGATTTGTAGAAAATGTTAGGCGTGATCCACAAAGTACATACGCACGCCTAGGGGGGAGGGGGGTCATGTTAAAGCGTATGTTCCCATGTTAAACTCCTATGTACGATGGGCGTGTAGGGGGGAGGGGGGTCAATTTTTGACCAAAATTTTGCGTACGTACTTTGTGGATGACCCCTTATAGAAATCTAACTCAAGTTCACAAGTATTGACATAAATGGAGGTTTTCTCGGACCAGTTGTCCATCGAGTGCCGCTATATTACAACCAATGCGTGGACAGGGATGCGGATGAATGACTTGATTTAGTATTCTTAGTACTGTATATCATGTACTTCTATATCACTTAAAATTGCAATAATTTATTTCAAATATCTTCCTGGTACTGTACAGTATATTTAAAGTTACAATGAGCCAGTTTTCTATAGCCCTCGTACTTAATTAAATTAATTACATAATGTTTTGTGTGCAATAGACACTTATTTACTTAGGATCCTCTTATAAGTTATAACAAACAAAGTATAAAAATAAATTTTCAATATTTATTTTACTGTGTTAAGCACCTGTATATTGTATAATATAATATTGTATATTGTATATATATTATATACTGTATTTATCATTTCAGGATTATTACAGAATATGTTTTTGCATTATTAGTTATACTGTATTAATAAATAGTGTATTTTATTTCAAATAATAAATTAGATACAAGTGTTAAAACAACAAAAATTATATCAAAAGTCAATATGAATTATCATTTTAATTTGCTTTCGTAAAAATTAAATTATTTCTTAACTAGATCATTTAATTTTAATCCATTTAAACCCCAACTATGGTTTTAAGCCTTACATGAGCTCCCGAAGAGACAGCTTGATTCGAGCACCGGTAGCTCGGCACAGGTAGTTTATGTAAAATATCTACAATTCACATCAAAAATTATTAGTTATTATTTTGTAGTTAAATTAATTTTTCGTAGTTTTTATATTATTTGATTTTGTTGTAAACTTACGTACTTTCTAATCTTAAAATAAACAATTTATTTAGTAACATAAACATACTTTCTCCAATTTCAAATGTTTTTATAATTGTGATAAAAGTGTGCTTTTTATTATAAATACTTGTAAGTTATACACAATACGCAATTTTAAATTAACGCTATATCAACTACAGTAGTGTTACATACTGTATGTGTTAAAATAAAAATACATAATTATCTGACAATAGTATATAACAGTATATTAATATATATATTTCAAACATATTTGTCTGATTAGTATAGTCTATAAATTATAAAAAGTGATGTACTGTTAAAGTATCCTGCTGTATACACAATTTAGCATTTCACTTGTATTCTGTAAGTACTGTACGGTATGTGATAAAATATTTCAGTGATCTCTAACCCAATTATCAGAACTTAATTATAAACAAAATATGTTTAAATAATTTCAAATAATTTCAACCAACTTGTTTTTATCAATATACTCTACCGTTGGATGTATTTTAGTTCAATATAAACGGAGTTCACTCTATGCCTCACATTTAGTGATTCTGGTGTTTCCAGAGATGTTAATTTTAATTACGGTAAATATACAGGGCTACAGTACTCCTGTACCTGAAATTTAATTATACGGCACTTGTATGTCATGAGCGAATGCATAGATATACCTGATGTTTGTTTGAGTCAAAAATTTGAACAACTTTTGCGAATATTCTTTAAAATATGATTTTTATAGATTATTATTTAATTGTGAATTTTACATTCAATTTGTGCAATATTTATATATGACATAAATTTTTAAAAATTTTATTTTGATTCATTAATTCTGATCAGGACACTTTTTATATTTAATTTTTGTTAGAAATTGTTATTTAATTTTTAATTTTTGTGTGTTTTATACATCTATTTATGAATATCTTTTTATTTCACACAATGTTTTCCAAACATTTCCTACAATTTCTATTGTGTTGCCAATCGATGACATTGTTTTCACTCGTATTGTGTGAGAAAACGTGGAAAAGTATTGTACCCGAAGATTATAACCAGGATATCGCACCTTCACGTCCTGGACAACCGGTCAATGTGAACGTGTCCATGTCCGTACTTAGCCTTAAGCCGGATGCCGGTGCTGCGCAAGTAATGATTTAATACTTATTATTATAATTAAGTAAAATTAACCTGCTTACAATTACTCTATTTAATCGTATAGTCTATGGTTGTGGACTTTTTCTATCACCTCCATTGGTATGACCACCGGTTGACAGTACCGGCTACTGAAAAGGTGACTCTGGGCTCAGAATGGAAAGACAAACTCTGGACACCCGACACCTATTTCAGAAACAGTATGGATGGTGGTGTGCCGAGTGTTTTGCATCCGAGTGTTTACTTTACAATAACAAATAACACCCGGGTGTTTATGGCGATCCGGTTCCAATTAAAACTCAGTTGTAACATGCAATTTACCAAATTTCCATTTGACACTCAGATTTGTTTTGTTAATATTACAACATGTGAGTATACAGTAGTGATATAATATTTAGTAATTATACATTAGTCTATAAATTATAATACTGTATATTTGATTTAACATTCAATAGAAAGTGATATTTAAAAAATAGTTTGTTAATTAATAATTTGATTTATTTTAGAAACTGTTATTAAATAAAATTTGTAAATTAAGACATTTATAACAAAAAATCTTAAGAGTTTGGAAGGTGTAACTAGTATTAGTAATTAGTACCAGATTTCGAAAAAAGTTTTGTCCATCAGATTTTACTACTAAAATGCAGGTTATTGCTAAACTATTTAAACTATCAAATTTATATTTAAACCTCAATTATGGTTTTTTGTCTTACATATTCTCCCGACGAGAGTACTAGTTTAGAGCACCGGTAGGTCGGCACAGGTAGGTTATCTGTACAGCAAAAAGTATAAGTCGTAGAGAGACAATCAGCACATCGTTTGAAATCAATGCTTTCAAAACTTTTTAAAAATATTTTGTTGACTATTATAGCTTTTTATATGTATATTTCATTGATAATAACGAATAAATCTTTTACAATATTTGTACTCATACTATGCATAAAATTAATACTTTATTTTGACAGTTTGTTAATATATGATAAAAAACTCATTAAGGAGGACATCTCAATGTCCTCTTCAGACACCTGGGAGGACAGTGTTCTGAGGGGTCCAAAGGAGGACAAATCTCCCCACGGAGGACGGTCTGGTCACCCTAATGGCAAATAATAATTTCATTCCGACTGAAAACTATTATTTATTTGGGATATATTTTTATATTAAATTCAATTTGTAAATATAATCTGGTTAAATACTATAATCAAACAATTACTTAATGTTTTTAATAAAGTTTTAACACTATTTGCAAGTTTGATACCAAAGGTATTTCTAAATCTATGATTTGATATTTAAATTAACTTTTAGTAACTTTTATTTTAATTTTACATTTAAATTAATTATGCGTAATTCATACATGGGAATGGTATGCATTCAATTTGACACAACCCTTATACGGCTATATTGTTGTCAATGAAATACCGATCTTTGACACAATACTGGACTTATGTATCGACCCATTGGAGTCGCTATTGTTTTGGAGCGCAACTGATCATAGTTACCATAAAAGTGCCAAAATAATAAGAGCCTCGGAGGACGGCTCCAATCAGTGCCAATGGTCAATGAGATACCCATTGCATGCATACAGGTTTTAGATGTAAATGTGTTTTGCACTTACTTACCTTTACACTTAATCCCAATACACCCCTTGCTCTCTTTATGTTATGGTATATGTGTACACATTTATAATGCTACCGTATATTTCACTGCTTTGAGTTGTATACACAAAGGGTCAATAATGTTGGCTATATTTTTTTGTTTACAAACAAAAGTACACCTGAAGTGCACTTCATTTCACATTAGATCTAGCCTTATCACAGATTAAAATTTAAACCATTCATATGAATTAAATCCTTAGAAAAAATCATGAAATCTCTCTATGACCCCCTTCATAATATACGTCGACTCTCACTTGACCCCTCCCCCAAATAAAAATACGCTTTCATACGCTTTTGACCTGACCCCGCTCCTCCACCTGGTGCGTATGTACTTATTGAATGGCCCCTTAAAAGATTCAAATGATGTGATGATGTGGTCATCCTTTTCCCCAATTTAAATACTATATATAGCCCATAAATATTTTGCATAAACTTTGAACAGTAAGTGTATCCGAAATGCAATAATCTATACATCATTTCAATATTATTTCACTCAATTCATTGTAAAATACTTATGCAATACATATGACTAACTTTTAATTTACTTATTTTTAAAATTAAAGGCATCTAGCAAAGTAGTATTTATAAAACAAATACTGATATAACTTATAAAACAATTAAATAAACTTTATATTAGTAGTCGTAACTCAATACCATTTAATTAATATTTGATACCGTATATCCCAAACATAATTTATATAATTTTCAAACTAAAGATATTTTGTTTTAAAATATTTAATGAAAAACTTGTCGTTTTGATGAATGAGTTTTAGTGTGGAATCAAACGTGGGATCATTTTCGAGACAATTCCTATCAATAGACCATAAGTTATATTCCGATAATACTTGTGAACACTCGGGTCTTCGAATAGATATGATAGCA